CAAGTTCGCTTCCCAATTATATAAATGTTGACATTTGTACTGATTATTATGCAAATTATGCATTTGTTTTTAGTCATACTTAAGTANGCGCCCAGTCTTAATTCATTTTGTTGCATATTTGTATCCGAATGATCTGTGCTGTATATCATACGTTTTGTCAATAATTTTTTTTTTTGTGTTGCCTTTGCAAGTTCGCTTCCCAATTATATAAATGTTGACATTTTTACTGATTATTATGCAAATTATGCATTTGTTTTTAGTCATACTTAAGTAGTAATTAAGCGTAGCGTTGCTCACTCATTAAAATTGTATTAGTACTTGTATTGTATACATACATATGTACATGTAGGTATGTAATTGCGGTAGCTCATTTTATGCGGTATTCATTCATATTGTGACTGACTGATAAGTGGGCTCAAAATACGTGTAAGTCAATTATTTTTTAGTAGTTGTTGTTTTATTTTGTTTTAATTTTTTTTTTTGNCTAATTAAGCGCAGCGTTGCTCACTCATTAAAATTGTATTGTACTCGTATTGTATACATACATATGTACATGTAGGTATGTAATTGCGGTAGCTTATTTTATGCGGTATTCATTCATATTGTGACTGACTGATAAGTGGGCTCAAAATACGTGTAAGTCAATTATTTTTTAGTAGTTGTTGTTTTATTTTGTTTTAATTTTTTTTTTTTGGTTGTGATTTTTAAATACGTGTGCATGTATGTATTTATTTAGCTTAGCGACAGTTTTTGGTTCAATGCGCTTGTCATATGTTTATAAGTATGTACTTTTTGTGTAAAGTATCAGTGAACCTTAACCTCGATTTAAATGCGCGTTATGGGGGTCCTTAGAATATCAGCTCCTAAATTTTTTAATAATTTTTTAGGAGTCGCTACAATAAAAAAAAAAAATGGAAAAATGCGTTTGGAGCTCTGAGTCCATACTAATTCTGCCTTACACATGATTTTCTTGGTATTTTTTTTTTCAAGATAATTATTTGTAGCCTAGTGTTATTTAGATTTAGAGATACTAATATTGCACCATGAAGCAATTTGGCGATGACTATGCCAAATGTATCTAAAAATATGTAAAATTTAACAGATTTTAGTTTTTCGGAGCTTGGTAGCAACCCACTGAAACTGTTTTAAAGTTTTTAAATTTTCGTAAAAGTCCTTATTTTGGTCACAGGGCACAATAAGGCGATGTTCCATATAAAACTTAGTTTTTCATATTATTTAAGTATCACCCTAATACTGTTATGCTTATTTAATTTTTGTTTTACGTTTATACTAAATATATGCATATGTGAATCACTAAGTGGTGTAATGACTCGCAAAAGTGCAAGTTTTTGACCCTTTCTCACTTCCTCTATTCGAATTCAATTCCCAATTTTTCGCTTTGGTTCTTGGTGACCGGTTTTTTTTTTTAATATTTATTTTAAGTACGTACTTGAGCGTGTTATTAAATTTTTTTCAGCATACTGAAATTATGCAAAATATAAAAATTTAAAATTCTGAAAAGTAACCACAACAGTGGTTTTGTAAAGAATACCCATGCTTTAAATTTAAAATTTGAGGGATATTCCCTTACTTACAAACTTACAAAGTCTTAAAACTTTGACTGAACCGAAAGAATGTGTATGGAAACTTTATTGGTTTTCGAGTTTTCAAGTTTTTGGTGTTTAAATCAAACACCCAATAGAGCATGAAGCAAAGTTCCATGGGGAGTGCTTTAGCTTTATAAATTCATTTTCCCATAATCGTTTTCCCAAAGAATTACAGACACAAAAGTTGTTTAGAAGCTTGTTGGGAGAGTATCCCGTGTTTCTACATAGAAAAAACCGAGAGTCATTTTTGGAATATACGACGCATTCTTTACCAGAACTAGGCTTCACTTCAGGTGCTTAAGCAAAATCCTTTTTAGTGATGACTTTAGGACGGTGGCTGTGTGTAATGGCAACTATGAGATCATGCAGCGCGTCTACGTCTTTTGGTCTTTATAAAATTCCGAAAGAGTTTACGGCGAGCATATCAAATCAGAGTTCGCAGTAATGGCAAATTAAGTCGAAGGACCAACGATTTAATCGTTCGTAGCTCTTAAGTAATTGTTCAGCAATGTAAGTTTAGACTAAAGATCGAAAAAATGTTCGTGGTTTACAGAATCTAAGGGGGTATGCAATTAGTCCGGAGCCAACAATAGTGCCAAGTATACATGAATAAGACACATACGAATTTTTGGCGTGGTACAGGCAGACAATTTTTTCCTGAATGCCCATACAGGAGGGAGCGCGTACTCGTAGTACTCATTGGACTGGCTAAGGAGAATAGCCCGGGAGGGGGAGACAAATAATGGACAGCGTATGTATTGCTGGCACACTGTGCTCCTTTTGCCGAAAGGATAATAATTGTACCAAAAATTGTTGTTTGTGAGAATCTGACTGAACTATTACATCTCCTTCCGTCGCAGTTGTAACCAGTCCCATGGACAATTTCGAGCAAGTTGGCCAATCGGCCTCCTGGTGAAATACTTGACTGTAGGAATAGGGAGGAAAACCGGACGAGAAGAGTTGGTTTTAGTAGGTTAAAGTATCTCACTGATAGGGTCAAGGCTTTCGATGTCTTCCGTCTCTATACATAAAAATAAGAGCTATATTCGATGTATATTATAGCTTGAATTATATTGTCTGCGAGGCGTTCTTAGACTCGACTAGACACGAGTTTGGCACTGACTTAAGCCTTCGAATTAACTAAATATATACTTCATCAGAGCTTGAGTAGTCCTCCGAGAATTGTTTGCTTAAATTTTTTTTGTTCTTTTCTTCTTACCTGAAACTAGTTTTAAACACCGATTTTTGCTGTTCTTGCATCAATAAATCCGCTTCAATGGTCGCAAGAACGGAAAAACGCATGTCGGTTTTTTTTTAAAAGTTCATTAAAAGGTGCTTTTTGATAAAAAAATAGACAATAAAGAATGAAATACAGAAGGTCTAATGCGCAAAAGAGGAGGAAGAGGGCTTCTACAATGACTTTTTTTTATTCACCTCCTAAATATGAATATATCGCTAGTTTAAAGCGAAAAGCTGCTAGATCCATTTATACAAAATTTTACAGGAGAGGAAATAAATTCTAAATAAATCCATGTGCCTGCACGAAAAATCGAACTGCTCGCTGAGTTTTTCCAGCAAAATTTTTGTAACTTAAACTTTGACAGAGTAATGAGGAAAACTTAAAATACAGAAGAGCAATATCAAAAGTGATAATATAACTACTTTCGCTTTCATTAAGACAAAGCTCCCACTTTTGCACTAGTTCGCATAACGAAGCGACGAAGCAAAAGGCAGCTGCAGCAGTAAAAAATCATTAAAAAAAATGCAAAAGCATGAACTCAAAAACGAGTGAGCATGTAAATAAATACAAATACACTCATACATACTTACACTGAATATATATGCATTTATGTATGTAAAACGCACAAAGTAATTTGCAAAGCTTTGGCTAGAATAATGGCGGCTTAAACGATGGTGGCGGCAACAGTGAGGAGTTACATACCTGAGCAATTGAACGTAGTGTTACTTAACTATATATACATAAATTGGTACACACGTACTTACAGTGGCGGTAAAAATGGATGAATTGGGTTTCGTTTTTAATATTTTCAATGTTTTTCAAGCTAATATTTTTTTAGATTTTTTTATAAAAATATGGTTTTGCTATAACAACAACTACTTTCAAACTTTATACAGAACTTAGAAAAATTGCATAAATTTGTATCTAAATTTCGAGCTTTTTAACCAAATTTTTTTTGGAAATGCAGTTAATAGGCTTATAAAATTTTAGTAAAATAAATACAAGTTTTAAGCGACTAAAAAATCGCATTGATTTTTAATATATTTTTTTTGGTGGCGGCTTTTTGCACTGGTTTACATATAAACATGAATTTATTGTGGAAGAATATGCGCAAGGCCGTTTGCTAAAAAAAATAAAAAAAAGTCAATGCCAGTTGTCCTAAAAATCGCTATTTATATGAAAGAAACCTGCAAAAGCCGTAAGCAAAAAAACTTTTTAAAAATCAAGGCAATTTTTTGGCGCTCAAAACCTGCACTTATTTTACTAAAATTTTATAGGCCATAACCTAAAATATTTCAAAAAATTCTGATTGAAAAGGTCGAACTTTAGATAAAAACTCGTGGAGTTTTTCTAAATTTGGTATAAAGTTTGAAAGGGTTACTAATATAGTTTTTGTTAAAGCATGAACCATATTTTTATAAAAAAATATAAAAAAAATTTCGCTTAAAAAAAAATTAGTAAATATTAAAAACGAAACACCATTCAGCCATTTTTGACCGCCACTGTATAAACGCGAGTACAAAGTAAATACTAGCACAAATACGTGTGCAAGCATACTTTTTTAGCACCCAAATGTTTATACGCCGCTACACAGCAGGAGCTATAAACTTTTAATTAAATACGCTTGCGTAGCGTTGCTAAAGTCGCTCTCATTTTGAAGCGCTTGCCCGGTTTTTTGCTTAGCTTCGAATGCTGCGCTCACGGCGAGTGCAGTTTACAAAACTGAAGTTTAGTAATTTCAAAAGGAAACTTTGGTCTTGGCGACTTCAAAGATACTTTTCATGGTGCAGTTAGGCTTTTGTAAGCTTCTGCTACTGTGTAAGGGAGTAAAAGACAAGAACGAAGCCATGGTGAGAGAGAGAACTTGTTCGTGAAAGAGTAGCTAAACTTCACTTAGACATTTTATGCACACACAAATATGCTCAGCTTAATGCACTCTTTTAACAGTTGTGCAGCGTTTCCCAAATTCGCTTAGTGCTTAATTGCCAACTTAGCAGTTGGCCGCAAAAAAGACACAACAAAAGCGAGGAGAAACACAACAAAAAACACACAAGACAACCAAAAAAATGACAACTTACCAGTTTGACTAACAGTTAGCCACGACTAGCCCAATGCATTACTCAAAGCTATAGCTTTAGCCTCCATCGTTGTTGGCTTCTTATTCGCTCGCCTAGTTTTTTTTCAGCTAGCTTTTCTACGCTCTTCCACTACAGTCTTTGGTTTTTTCTTAGCCAAAATCGAGGGCTTTTGAATGGTCTATGCGCTAGCTCAATTTAGTTCAGCTTTGGTTTTTGTCTATTAGCCGCTCGCTAAACGCTCTCCAACAAACCACAAGCCGTTTTGATTGACTTGGCGGCGCTGCAAAAGCGTTCGCTGACTTCAGTGTGCGCCGACCAGTTTAAGCAGGCAGACGACGGCCACAATTCGGTTTTTTTTTGTTGTTGGTTGGCTGAGAGTGTGTGTCTGTGCGTATATGTAAATTTGCCAAATATACATACACAGGCGAGTATATTGTGGTTAATAACGCGTCTCCGGGTGCATATTTTCAACTGAAAAGTTAAGCGTATGCGAAAAAAGGCAAATTCAATTGAGATCCTAAAAACCGTTCTAAAAAAGTGAGTGAGTGTTATTTTTAAAAATATAAGTTTTTAAAAGCAATTTTCGCACTCAAAACCTCTCTATAGCAAACGAAGCGAACAGCAATTGCAAGTGTTGAGTAAAATTCAAGCGAATAAGGAAAGATCAAAAATCAATTAAAATTAAAAAACAAACAAAATTTAATAATAATATCACAGCAGTAGTCAGCACGACGAGCAATCACGACAAAACGCCACAGTATTCGTACACAAAAGCAAAAACAACAACTAAAGCAGCAATCTTAACAACAGCATCGCCTTTGGCTACTGCTGCTGTTTTCAATCCCCCCCCCCTCCTCTGCTCCAATACTCTCGGCAGCTCACTCATTACTTGTTGCCTGTTGCAAAATTTGTGTGGAAGAAAAAAAAAAACAGAAAAATGCTGTTTTAAATTTCAAAAAGCGTTCAAAATAAAACATTTTGTAGCAGTGCAGAGAGACGCGGGTGCAACGCGAAGAATTCGAAAGGCAAAGCTGTAGCTGGATTAAAAAATAATAAAGATGCAACAATAAAAACCTCAGAGCAGTGGCATTAAAGAATTTTAATTTAGGTTTTTTTTTTTGCTTTTTTCCATTGAAAGCAAAACCGAAGTAAATTTTTGAAAAATTTGTGACAAAATTGGTTTGAAAAATATTTTGTGCTGCTAACTAGAAAGTGAAGAATTCTGTGTATTCAAATGTACGGGTATATGCCTATGCTGAAACGATAGCCATGGACGGATTAAGATCGAAAAAATATACAAAGTGAGTTGATAAATTTTATTGACCTACAATCTTAAATATAGTGAGGAAGAAAATGAAGATAGGGCAAAGAGATTTTAAATCTATTTAGCTACTATTCCCATACTGAACTTTAAAAATCTGATTTTTGATATTTTTTAAAGTGATATACGAAAAATTAATAAAAATATTTAAAAAAAAAAAACATTTCTTAATAAATTCTACATACATTTCAACATACTTCAGGAGCTGCGGCAGTTAATTTTTTTTTGCGTTTTTCTCGAAACGACTTTTTTAAAAATTTTACCAAAATTAAATCAATGTTTGTAGCGTCACAGTGGGGAGAACTGTTTTCAAAGCTAAAATTTTTGCGTTTTTTTTTTTATAAAAATATAGTTCATGCTTTAACCAAAATCATATAAATCTAACTTTATACAGAGCTCATAAAAATTAATACAATTTTCATTAAAATTTTGAACTTTTTAATCTGTATTTTTAGAAAATAAATTTTAGTATAATATAATAAAGTGGAAGAGGCTAAAAAATCGCTTTAAATTTTATTTATTTTTTCTTTGCTGACGGCTATTAAAATTTTTTCCATATAAGCATGTATTTCTTATGGAAGTTTTTATAAACCGCATAACCTGTCAGAAAAAAAGTTATTAAAGATCAAAGCCATTTTCCAGCCGCTGAAAATTTGTGCTTTATTACACTAAAATTTAATAGGCTTAAAATTGCATAGCCAGGAATTTTCTAAAAATTCAGATTAAAAATTTCAATTTTTTAACGAAAATTTTTTGAATTTTTCTAAGCTCCGTACTAAGTTCGAATGTTTAATTAATATGGGTTTGGTTAAACCATGAACCATATTTTTTATAAAGAAATAACAAAAAAAAACTTAGATTAAAAACCTGACAAATATTTTACAAAAATCACGATGTACTAATTTTTGCTCTCCACTATACGTAAAATTTTTGTCTTCTATGTCCCCCTTTTAAAGGGCCGTCTGCAGCTGTTAAGCAAAACGAAAAATTCATATTAAATTCCGCACAAGAAATTGAAAAGAATTTTTACTCTATCAAAACTTCTTAAATCAATATGCAGCTCTCAAAGAAAAAATTCTCGTATACATATTTATTTTTTCAAAAAAATTTACAGCAGCATCAAAGTACTTTTCAGGCAACGGAAATAATGAAGAATATTATTTGTGATTTTTCTTGAGCCTTTAAATAATGAATTTAATCAACTAAACATTTTTCTGAAATTTCAGGTCCGGTGCCATTTTTGCAAAAAAAAAAATCAATTTTTTCCATACGTAGCGCTGTATCTAAATGCTATCTTCTTAAAAAATAACAATTTTATGTAGTTTTCAGACGGTGCCCGATTGATAAATTTTGTAGGCCATCTTGAAAAGAGAGGGCTAATGGATGGACTTATACCGCTACCTAAAGGGGTAAAGGTGCCATTTTTTTTTTAATTAGTTTTTGATGCAGAATAGCGGGTAATAAGAAACCACATAGATTTCTCGCCTGTTCTGAAAAATTAAAATAAAAGTGGTCTTGGCACCAGTTTGGTGTAATCCTTTAAGCTCGAAAAAGGATTTTGAAATTTAATTTTAGATATTAAGCTCATGTATGTCTGCGAAAATTGTGATATATTTTGTCTTCATCCAAAGTTTTTCGGACTACTTGTGAGCTAGGACGCGTCGAAAATATACTTCGAAACTTTCCAAAATAATACTTTTGTTAATATTGCTGCAGATTAATCCAGTTTAGATTTTTCTATAAATTAAGGCAAATTATTATAAAAAACCTAAATTTGTTTTTAGAATTGGTGCTCGAAACATATCATAATTCGAAAATAATGTGCGAAAAATCCTTAAGAAATATTTTTTTTAAACAAATAAAGGGTAACATTAAATATGTATAAATACCTTATTTAAATTTCCTAAGGCTTCGAAAAATTTTCCCCCGAGCAAAATATTTAAATCCTGAATAATTTATTTAGGAAAATCTCAGATCCGCGAATGTTGAGACCCAAATGAATCAAATTTGAAATGACTACTAACTGTGTTAAAAAAGAGTTCTACACTCCTTAATCATGTTCGACTTTGTAGTAAAAAAAGCCAAGGCAATAATGGATGATCGGATGTCAGAGAAAATGGAGATACACTGGCTTTGACGGTGGCGCAAACTACGCTAAAAAAAAAAAACCGATTTCAGCGATAGCGAATAATACTTCCCAGGAATTCAGAGAAAACGTCAGCTTCGCGTTCTATTTTGAAACCCGAAAAACACTTGCAAAACCAGGCTAAAGGGTTGGTCTTCTTATTCACAGGGATTCATAGAAACGCTTGTTTCAATTTCGTTTTTAATTTTGGAGAACTCGATGATGTATCCAGATGGAAGTATCGAGTTCCCTGTCTGAGTCGGTTCACAACGAAAGAAGAAGCCCGAATAGCCCGTATAATTCCTTTTTATGGTATGTAATCGGTATAAAGTATTACAATTGGAGGAAATTGGGAAATTGGGAAATTATCTACCACGTCTGATCATTCCATCTTCCTATATATCCTATATATATCTTAGAGCAGACGCTGATGCGGTTAACATTGCGAGAAGGTCTATAGGTTTGTAACATCATTGAGAGCATCTGTAGCGCAAGTGCTCGTTATGCATACAACAGGTCCCTAAGCATGCTGCTCCGTGAACTCTGCCAAGTTTTAAATGATTATACTGAACCCTTAAAACTGTCTACCAGGCTAGGGAACCGTAAAATAAGATTGGACGTACCACTTCTGTGTACATCTAGAGTTCAATTTTTGGATCAATGCCCCATGTCTTCCTGAACAGCAGCTTAGAAAAGTAAAAGGCAATGCTCGCTTTCATTGGGGAAACAAGGTCCATATTGCTTATCAATTTCACCATCATGCCAATTGAATAGTAATCGAGATGTACATACATCAATTTTCCTCAATGAAGGTTGCTGCTAAAATACTACAAATCCCATATCGTTATTTTTAATCCATTTGTGAAGATAGAGTCACGAAATTGCTTCAAATGATTCCCAGTTACTTCTTTCGAGGAAGTGAACTTCAAAGTTGGGATTCGAGTCGACCGCCGGGATCTGGCTTCTTTGTTCAACCTCAACCCTGTCCAAAAAGAGGCGTGACCATTATAAGCTGGACAGAATTTCAGATACACATATTATGTATTTGTGCATGTAACAAAATGTGATGACAACTGTTGTATTCCTTGCAAGCTGGATCCTCGTTTAACTGCCTTCCATCAGATCAATCCGTTATTGGTGAGAATAGGTCTTAAAACTGCTGTAAACACCCTAGATCCTAGTCTGTAAGAGGCGAGACAGAAGCACTGTATCAGACGTTCTTATTCAGCTCTGCGCTTGATATCAAACTAGTGTGCCTATGAGGGCCTCCGCAAAAGGCTGTTCTGGCGCCGTTTACAAGCAGGCATAAGCCGTTGGTCAAAACCCCTGAATAAACTGCCGTTTCTCGTCTGAATAAACTCCGAACGTTGGCTTTACTGTGGGTGACAGAACAGGTCCAACCGCGGCTTTAGAGTCGCTCCTAGCTTGGACGCCACTCCACATTTTTCTCCAAACAGCAGCAGCTTCGAGGAATTTGCAAATGCAAAAATCTCTGACAGTACTTTTGAAAACAAGACACAGCACAAATGTATTTTGAGAAAAATACCAGGTCCAGGAATCTGCGAGTTCTCCGACGATATGCCAAAGGAAAACTCCAGACCGAGGTGTTTGGTGAAATGACTTAGTAGAACTGGATCTCAGATATGTACACTGGTACACAGACGGATCAAAGATGGACGGCAGAGCAGCAGCGGGTGTCTTTGGACCGGGTGCCAAACTTTCTATTGCAATGGGTACTTGGTCCACGGTCTTTCAGGCCGAGGTACTAGCAATCCCAGTTTGAGCCAGACTGAACCTTGAGAAGGGTTTACAAGGCGCGTTTCTAGTTATATTTTCATATGGCCAGGCGGCCATATGGCCCTTTCCACTAGGACCTCCAGGCTCGTCAAGGAGTGTTTTGACACTACTCAACTCTTGTCAGCAAGGAACACGGTATTACTATTCTGAGTACCAGGACACTGCGGGATCGTGGGTAACAAGGCGGCCTGAACCGTATTGCGGACTCATTCGGTTCTCCTCGAGGCTTAAAAAAGAATCGTGGGTAAACACAGAACGCAGTAAGTGCTGGGAGAGGTAAGGAGCCATAGACAGGCCAGACTTTTGCATTATCCTTTCGCTAAGAACATCTTTTGAACAGAGCCGATGTCAACTTGCTTGTTGGCTAGCTGACGGGCCATACTCACCGCATTGGTATTTCCACAGGCCATTGGTATTTGCAAATTGCGGTATTTGCACTGGCCAGACTAAGACTGCAATGCTTCACGTCTTCACGGTCGATGCCCTTAAGGTTAGGAATTCGTCTACCAAGGAACTTTTAGCTTTTATAAAGGAGACTAATAACATCTAGGGTCGTCAGGGTTGGGAACCATAATATGGATACAAAAGATCTTCTAGGTCTATCTGGAACTGTATATTTCATAGGGTTTAGTATTACTTAACTCGGTTTTTTAGACTATAGGCTCGGTCACAGGATCAATGAGAACTTGTTTAGCCACGTTATATAAAGTGATTCTGAGATTAACTGCATCGTTTCATTGATAA